GCTGTGTGAGCTTCTGTCGGCTAGCGCTTCGTACAAACGAATTCGCCGGGGCTGCTGTGGCTAGAAGGGTGGCTTTACGGACCACCAAGTTTGAGGAGAGCCCACGCTAGAGCCTTCGTGCCCTCGTGGCCGGATAGCGGCCCATGGATAGATCGGCCAACTGGGCCGATCAGTCGGAGCAGGCCAGTGTGCTAGCCCAGAGGATAGAGATACTCCACCAGCTGGACGAGTGGCTAGAAGTCGATTCGGCGCACGAGCTGCTGCAGCTAGCTCGAAAGGCTAGGGACGCACGGCTAGCGGAGCACCAGGAGGGGGCTAGCATCCAGTCGGGAGGCAGGCTTTCCAACAGGATAGTCCAATACCAGGGTGCTACGTCCTGGGACGATATCCCCTGAAGGCTAGAGGCTAGCCTTTCGCGGACAGAGGCCCAATACCTGGAGGGGCGGATAGCAAAGAACCGCCAGCTAGCGGGGCTACGAAGGCGAGACGCGAGAGGAAGAATCCTCACAGAGCGACGAACTGGAGGATACGCCCTGGACGGGAGAGCGCTGAGGCTAGCCACCCGCAGGCGGCGGCGGCTAGCGATCTCGGCCCCGACCAGGCTAAGCTAGACATGCTGCAGGAGGTGCTCCGGGCTACGACCCCTGCGGCTAGGCAAGAGAAGACCCAGTCCAAGGGGTCAGAGGAGGCCAGCACAGGGACTAGAAAGCAGGCGAGGGATCCCACGCCGGGCGAGGCGTTCGAAGCCCGCCAAGCCGGCTAGGGACCCTTCAACGGTCCAGCAGACCAAGGATAAGAACAAGCAGATGGAGAGGAACCCGGCTAGAGGCGGCTACCACGCCGTCGTTCTCAGCAGGGATAGACTAGGCCCAGGTGGTCGACCCGGGCCTGGCACAGGCTAGGGCGGCAGCAGCGGATAGCTCGGAGAGGCCAAAGTCTAGCACGGAATATCCAAAACCCGGCGAGAGCATGAAGGTCTTCCTGGCTAGATGCATGCAAGGATACCGTAAACATCCTGGCGATGTCCCGGCCTATGTGGCTAGGATGGAGAAGACCTTCCCAGAGCTAGACCCGAACGAGCCGGAGAGTACAGAGGATAGGCCACGGCGCCGGCCTCCGGGCCCAGGCCAGCCGGGCTACGATCCCTTCCCGGCTATCCGCCCTCAGGCTAAGAGCAGCTCGAAGGGCCGGGAGGGCTATATCACCCGGAGGCCGAACATCCGGTGGATAGACGGCTAGGTGCGGGCCGCTACAACGAGGCCCAATGGGAGGCTATGGCCGAAGACGGCCGGATAGCGCCAGAGAGGGCGGCACTCCCGCGGCTAACGTCAACCTGGATAGGCCGGCTTCCCAGCTCATCCGGGAGGAGCCCGAAGTCGTGCATCGGCCAATGGCTCCCCCGCCGACGGCTAGCCAGGCTAAAGGTCGACCATGGGGGCCTGACGGTGGCATGGTCGACCAGACCTGGCTATACAACGCTCGGGCTAACTGGCCCCTCAACAGCTACGAGAAGGGCGACCGCAAGGATAGAGCCCTCGCGAACTTGGGGGATAGAGGGCGACAGGCCTGCAAGGGCGGGATAGAAGATCCCCCTTGGCTTTACCAGCTAACCGATGACGACTACATAGCGGTTAGCAACAAGTCGGATAGCGCCGAGCAAGGGTGGATAAGATGCCGACCCAATGGGGCTACTCCTGGCGTAGGCCGATGGGACCCCATCGGCGGGATATTTAGATGTATAGTTGTCTGTGATATGTGTGGGATAGAGCAATGCAACAAAAGAATGTGGTATTGCCTGGATACGCATGGGGATAGAGGCCATACGTGCAATCATTGCCGCCCCCCGCCTAGATCGGCTAAGGGGGCAGGCAAGGGCCGAAAGGGCTCCGGCTAAAGCACGCAAGTATGGCTAGAGGACCCGAGACACACGGCTAGAAGAAAAATGAAGGAGAGTGCATCGGCCTTGCACATGTCGGCTAGTGTGTCCTTCCTGCAGCCAGAAAGAAGCGAGAAACCGGCTAGATTTTCTTGGGGACTGAAAGTCTTTTCGAAGGCTAGTCGGGGGGGGGGGATACTCCGGGTCTCGTCGGGGGGTTCCTCCTTCTTTCCCAACTGGGCTGCTAGGGGGGGGGGAACGACTCCGGGTCTTGTCGTGGTGGGTCCTCCCTCTGTCCCAACTCTCTAGTGGTGGGGGGGCTAAGCTGTACCCACGGATGCTAGAGCTTTCAATTTCAAGAGACGACCCTAGCTTGAAGCTAGCGAAAGGCTCCACAGATTTCCGCTACCTTTTGACCCAGAATAGGGTCCCGGATACTTCCCAGGCTACCTTGTTCAAGGCGGGGATAGATACGATCGCAAAGTTTTCGGCGAGTTTCAAGGACGAAGCCGATCTGAAATCGGTGCTAGCGAAAGACTTCTCGATAGAGCCAGAAAGTTCCTTGGTGAACAGGGCGCTAGCGGCTGCTTTTGTGGTAGCTTGGAGAGCGGCCCAGGCTCGCACCCGCGAGCAAGCGGATAGAGAGGCGGCTAGCGAAGTCCGGGAATGGGCGAAACCCATCCCACAGACAGAGTTCATGGCTATGCGCCAGTCCTTTGCACAAAAGTTTGGCGAGCCCGAGGATAAGCACATTCCTGCGAAGGAATACATTGAGCGAAAGCTTCACGAGCTAGAAACGGGCGAGTTCAGGGCGGAGCCCCTGAACGAGGTGCTGTCCAGAGACGAGATTGATCCGGATGTGCTAGTTCCGCAATGGGATAGCAAAGGCACCGCCCTCATGCTCAAGAAGGCTACCTCGAAAGGGGCTATGCCATCGGGACCAGAGCAGCTTCGCCTCCGGCTAACAGTGATGCAGAATGCCCTTCTCATGATAGGCTTGCAGCACCCGGGGCGTTCCGAGCTGAAGGATATCGACTTCCAGCTCTTCGAGAAATACAAGGATTACCTGCTGGGCGACTTCTGCTATGGGCTACGTTCCAACGATGCTAGCGGTTCCCTGGCTCCGCCTTGGACTTTGGTGCTATCCTACGAGAACGCTATCCGGAAGCAGACCTACAAGCAAATGGTTCTCAAGGGGATAGGCTTTGCCGACTCGCTAGTCCAGTCCTGGAAGGATGCGGCTACCAAGGAGCGCCACTTCACAACCCCGCTAGCCCTTTGTGCTAAGCGGCCGCAGCCCTGGTCGTGGGATAACACGCAGCCGGATAGGCCTCCCAACAAGAAGGGCAAAGGCAGGGGCAAAGGCAAGGACGGCAAGGATAGCAACAAGAAGGCTAAGGTCGGCACCTTTCACCGCACTGAGGATAATAAGCCGATTTGCTTTCGGTTTAATTTGAAGAGCGGATGTAAGAAAGGGGATAAATGCCACTTCGTGCATGTCTGTACGAAGTGCCGCGGCCAGCACTCGGCGATCAACTGCCCCGGCGCGGCTACGCCGTCGACCGCGGCTAACTGACTTGCTCAGCCTACGCCAGTGGCGCCCGCCTCGGCTACTCCGCCTGCGGCTACGACCAACCGGCGGCTACAAGTTCTGTACCTTTTCTCTGGCAGGGAGAGACAAGGGAGTTTTCAAAGCCATCTCCGACGGCTAGCCTCCAGCTTCGGGGTCGATTTGGAGATTTGCTGTGTGGATCTGGCTAGATCTCCTTCAACCGACCTGGCGACATCCAAATCGAGGGCTAGGTACCTCCAGCTGGTCCAATCAGGCGCCTATGACATCGTGGCTATTTCACCCCCGGTGGCTACCTTTTCACGCTCCACTTGGGCTAATTTCAAAGGTCCAAGGCCAGTACGTAACGTAGCTTTGCCGAACCACGTGGATTGGCGAAGCTGACGTCCAAGGAGAGAGACCGGGCTATCCTTGGCAACATTTTTGCTGATTTTTCTTTTGAAGTAGCTAGTGCGGCCCTCAGCTCGGCTACCTTCTTCGTCTTGGAGCAACCCGAAGACCTTGGGGCTATGCCCGCGGGCCCCCACAAAGGGCAACGACCGGCTAGCATGTGGCAGTGGTCTGCGCATAGCCAATTGGCTAGCCAGGGGCTACGCTCCGTTGCCCTGCACCTGGATAATTTTGGGGCGACTTCTGGTAAGCCGACGAGACTGCTTCTCAAAACAACGTTGGAGATGGGGAAGACGGGATACCTCATCATTCCCACGATGCTGAGGGTTCTGATGCGGTGGCTAGCCGACAAGCTCGCCCAGGGAGAGAGGCTTCAACGTCCCGTGACTCTCTACGCTGGGCTACCGCCACTGAGCTTTTTCACAGACGCTAAAGCTGATAGGGGGCTTCCTGGAGAAATCCGAAGGGAAGCCCAGGACGGGTCAAGACGCTGTGTGCCTGCAGCCGTGTGGCAACCGACCGTGTGTTCGGATGCGCCCGTGTGTCCGGGCAAGGATTCGTGACAAGCGGCCGTGTGCCGTGTAAAGCGGCCGTGTGTCGGCCTCCTTCGGTTCACGGAAAATTCGTGGCAGATCGTGTCGCGATCGGCGTCCGCCGCGCGCGCGCGTGCGCGCGCGCCATTAATATGTGCATATATCAAATATTATATTAATACTAGTATTAATATTAATATTAATATTAATATATTTATATATTAATATTAGTATATTCATATAATACATGACACAAAAAACCGTGACCACTTTCCTTTTTTAATAGATTGAAAACATTACTGATGTATATTTAATTATATAATCTAAATTATATGAATAATATATATAAATATTATTAATAGAATTAATATAATATATATATATATATATATATACCCTACGTGTCCAAAGCATCGGTTTAACGGATGCGTTCAAGTAAAGCATCCTAAAAACTGAACCCACGCATTTAACTGATATATGGTTCACTTAGGCTTTACACCTTCCGGGCATTTCGATTGTGGGTTTCAGATCATTTGTGGCCTTGGTTTTCGGGGCGGATGTTTCAAGAGCTAAGGGATTCAGTAAGCCATTCCTCAGCACAGCACACCGGCAGCTGCGGCCACCGACAAGATCACGAATCGGTGCCCTTTTTCACCTTCTGCGCTTCGCACACTGGTTCAGGGATGCAATTCTGTATGGTCTTCTCAACGAAGCTAGGCGGTATCTTGCCGTTTTGATCACGGCTTTTTCCAGGCATCGTTTGTCCGCCGCTTGAGCCACTCCTTGGATAAGTTTCGGGACATTGCGAGCTTGAGGATCTGTTCTTCATCAGGCGAACTTGCGGTTCTAATTCGGCCGTGGTGCCTTTCAACCACCTCATTGCGTCCTCTTCCCTGAATGTGTGATGCAGTCGGCTGTTGAGTCCTTCGCAGAACTGGTAGCACCCCAGCACAGCTAAGGCAATGAATATTTCAACCAAGAGTCGTCGTTTCACCATATCTACTAGTTGATGATGCATTGCCTCAGTTGGCACGGAAGAGCAGGGAGTTTGCTAACCATCGGTGGTAGGAAAGCCCTTGTTTGGAAATGCGGCCAAAGCTCGTGGCCTTTCGGTCGAATATGCCAGTGGAGCTTCTGAAGCCTCTCACATTGTGAACTGTATTCGTGTTTCTCGATGCTGTCGTATACTGCATGCCACAAAAGGCAAGCCTCATAGAGAGCTTGCACAGCAGGACATGGCATCGAAGGTATTGCATTCCATGATCGTAAACTTCATTGGCCTGTGGAGCCGTCCTGCAGTGCAAAACCCTGAGAACTGCGGGGCTTGATTTTCCTAGCATCCCCTAGCCCTGAACTCCTAAAGCTTTTCGCCTATGACATATGACCAAATATCAAGACCTGTTCACCCCAGCCGAGCAACAGGTACATGGGAAAGCGCTCCACAGCATCGAACCACTTGCAGAGCGACTGCCTCGAAATCAGTGGGGGGGGGTTCATGGTCGAGGTGTTAGGGGCAATTAGGGTTTTCTAGCACGGCCCAAGAAACGAGGTTTGAGTTTCTGGGATGACATAATTGTGGTATTTGGTGTCCTTAATACAGTCGATCGGTAGAATGAGGTCGAAAAAAAGTTTTGCTAGATAACTTCAAGTATCATTGCCAAGCAGATAGGGGCAAACCGTACATCATCGTCATCTGGCCAGGGTTTTCCTTCGTCCTGGTATCGGGAATGAAGCCACTGCCCAAAGTCGCGGTTGTTCGTGGTCTTATGAGCAGCAGCCCTTTCCATGCAATCACCCAGCCACATGGTGATAACTCGACCATTGTATCCCTTGTGAGCCATATGGGCCCCATGCTTTTCAGGCTTCCAGACCTCACCAAAGTTCATCATCAATGTTTGAGGTGCAGTGGGTTGGTAGGCTTATGGTCTAGGTACGGCGATATCAGCGATGCAAGTTGTATTTGAGACCCATTCTTTAATGCAGTCCAGGGGCAAAGTTCGGCACAAACTTGGTCTGGGAACAGTAAACCCCCCGTTCCTTTTGGAATGATTTGAAATCACGAAAGGCAACGACCAGGAGCTTGTGAAAGGAATTCGTGTTCGGGTCCGGGTCGCCGAAGTATCCATTCTCCACTAGAAACATCCTGAGCATTTGTGCATAAAAGGATCAATCCAGCATTGTCGTTCAACATATGCAGAAATCCGTAAACACAACTCTTGAAGCCAAGAAGCAAAGTTGAACCTGTAGCATCCTGTGCCACTCCCAGATTGACATTGTGTAGACTGCAATGACAAATCATTCCATAGTGGAACCCTCGAAGCCCCAAGAAGGGACCTTCAGCACACATTCCGTGAATTTGGGGTGACCACCAATCAAGTCTTATCCTGTCTAGCCGAAATTTGATGATACAACTTTGCTACCATTGGGAAAAGGCACAAACGTGGTTCTGCCCGATGCCATTAACCACGAAGTCATTGTGCGAAAGCTCAGTTTGTGCCCAGGACGGATTGTCGCTCAGATCACAGATGGAGTGCAGGGCTTGGTGGTGATTCTCAGCATCACATCTCCAGCAGCACCACCGGGTTTTCCACCATCGTTTAAGCCGCCAGGTTTGATAATGATATTCCCAGTCGCCTTTAATCTGTGTCACGGCGAACTTTTTACCCAGAGGTCGATTGTCGGGGGTCAGGCCTTCGAAGGCGGCATTCAACGATTCCACAACTGCACGATAAAGAGGGTTGTGACTCTTCCATCCCAGGCTCAATTGAGTATCTAGGCTCCAAAGCAACCATTGGCTCATCCTCGTTGACTTGGGCCTCCACAACACAAGGCTCATGAAGCAACCTGTGACCTTGGCTTGATCGTACCCCTGCCCATACCGAGCAGTGTCCCCGTAGAGTGATACAGGTATGTGGTTGCCGTCAAAGTCGGCAGAAACACACCAGTCACACCAGCGCTTGCAGTGGGCCCAATACTTTGCTAAGGCAGCTTCACTAATTTCCAAGCCCAGCTCATCGAAAAGATAAGACAATATGCGGTGGGGGAGTAGCACCGGAACCTTCACTCGTACTTCTTCTTCCGAATCTTCTTTCATCTTTAGAATAGTCTCCACATAAACAGGCTCCTGGCACACGGGCTATTACAAAACCCCAATCTCGATTATCTAATTATGTTGAATAACAAACATAAACAGGCCCTGAACCCTAAACCCTTCCACACCCACACCTACACCCTGAAAGTCAAACTTTTCGGGATAGCCTGAAAGTCTAGGGGTTCGGGTGGGGAGGTTCACGACAAAGCACCACAGGGAGCCGAACTGATCGTGCGAAATCACGAGCACTGTTCTTGCCACTGAAGGTTCCGAGCTTCTTCAGCGGGGCCGGCAGAAGACCAGCCGCATCCTTGGGCACGGTTGCATCGAAATACATAGGGCTTGGGTTTAGGCTTTGGGTTGGTTTGAAGGTTTTGTGCAGCCGGGTTTCGGTGACTGTGGACTTGGCGCTTCTCATCTCGCGGTTGACGGAGCCGGCCTTCGAAGGATTCTTCAAGTTGGGCTTCGGGGTCCTATGCGGCTTGTTGATACAGGCTTCGGGGCTTTTTCGGCTTGTGCAGTGACCGATCACACCATTCGATTAGGCAAGGAGCAGCCGCTACGTTGTCGATCATGTCAAAAACCAGCTCTGAAGTTCTCGCAACTTTACCTGCGAGCGAAGAGGGCGGTGCTACTCCTATTTATCAGGCGAGTCATGCTCCTACATAGGCCGAGCTGGCACATGTAAGCAGAAATTTCCATGGCAGCCCGCCAAATCTGGCACGTCTAAGGCACACGAGGATTTCCCCATCCTGTGCACCAAGTGGAAGATAGCAGGGTTCACTGATGCTTTGTAGCACCAGGCACATCGATATGCCGGCATTTGTTTTCAATGCCGGAAAAGCATCATCTTCTCCACACAGCATCAGATCCCCGAGAACCTGATCTACATAGGTTTTGCAACCTAACTGTATACCTAGGATTCGAAGTGTGCAACCGAAACCACTCGGGTGCTGTGTCTCGGACGAGCTTCCTACTTCTCCTTTGTGAAACTCTTCTTCTTGCTGAATGCAAGAACCTGGTTCTGCATTTTCTTCATGAGCTCTTCGGCCTCTGCGGTCATCGTCTCCATGTCGGTCTCCTGACAAAGCCAAACATCTTAGGGTTCGAGGCTGTGGGGGTTTAGGGTCGTTGTTAAGGTGCATTTTAAAGCTGACACGAAGCCAACTTGTACTCTTTAGTTTGTCCAGATCCAGTTTAAGTTTAGCGGTCGGTTACTGTCGCTGCAAAAGATTAGGGCTTTCGGGGCCAAACCAGGTTAGCAAACTGAAGCTCCTGGGCTCCATCGACAGCAGATTGCAAGTTTGCTCTGCAGGCGGAGAGCCGGGCAATGCAATCATCGAGATCCTTGCGGAAGGCCTTCTGCGCGTGCTTGCTCCTTTGCACGAGGGGGCGTCGGCGGGATTCGAGGGTTTAGTTTAATTGCAGAATCCGTTTGATTGAGAGACTCAGGCCCCAACAACCCCTCCAAGTCAGCAATCTTGGCATTGTGGTCACGGATCATCTTGCTTAGCTGGCCGATTGCCTAGGAGGGCACAGGAAGGGGGCGAGAGCAGGGGGGTTGCTTGAATGAACACTTGCCTTGTTGGCTGCCTGCTTTGTTTTCTTCAACCGGGCTTTGTCGGCTTCGGCCTGCTCGTCCTTTTCATCCTTCTCCTTCTTCTCCTTCTTGTTTTTTTTTACTTCTTGTTGCGCTTTCCCTTCTTGTCCACGTCCTTTCCCTTATCCTTTCCATTCTTGTTGCCATTGTCCTTCGTAGTTTGGGATTGGTATGCGACAACCAACGGTTGGTTTAGGGATAAGGCTTCGAGACTTGTGGGTTTCAGGGTTTAGGGTTCTAGGGTTTGGGTTGATAATTTGAAGTTAGTTGTTTTTTGGTAAGTGTGCATCAGCAGGAGTACGTGCACATATTTGCTTTATGCATGCAAGTATGTGTGGCATGCTCGACCTGCGTGTGTGTGTGTGTGTGTGTGTGTGTGCACGACATGTATGCCCACATGTACACAGCCATGAACCGATCTGTCACCCACCCACTGATTCATTCATCAAACACTCGCACACGACTTCCCGGTCCTTGCCACCTTTCGAGTCTGGCGTGTCGTCGTCATCATCGTTTGAGCCTGAGCTGTCGTCCCCGTCTTCCTGCCGGAACATATCCGTAATCTCATCCACGTCCTCGTCGGTCACCTCCTCGTCCACCAAGACGAGGTACTGGACAAGCCCTGCGAAATGTCATGACGTTGTCACATTGGAAACATTGAACAACAGAGATCCTATCTATGAATGCATTGGTACAGTTCCCCCCGGCTCCTGGGCAGTCGGGGTGCTCTCGCACCTCTTTTTTTTCAGGTACTCGTCGGTCTCTTTGCGGGCGATAATGCTATCCACAATGGTCGCATCGTCAAAGTGGACCAACATTTGGGATCGGGTCAGCCACCTGCGAATTCCACGTCGCCCGTTTCGGGTGATGGACTTAATGGTCTTGTAGACCATCGATTTCTTCCAGTCACCCTCCGTCTGGAGGTAATCCTCGTACAAGCTGCTCATCTTATTCTTGCCTGAGCACGGATCGTACATGCATGGGAAAACCGACGACCTCCGGGCACTAAGTGCACACATGGCACAGTACTTCGACTGGTGGAATGCCGACTTGATCTCGGCCGGGCAGGTGCGGCCTAGGTAGTAGGCATGCACACATGTAGTGCTCGCAGGACATGGCATGTACACACATGACTGTGTAGACTGTAACATGACCGCACATCCCCACACCTTGCATTCAGATCGAAAACAGCGACTGGGCCAAGTGGCTGTGCACACTTCTGTAAAACCTCATGTACATCTTGTGTGCAAACTTCTTCTTGTCCTCCAGGGTGTTCTCCTTATTGGATTCCTTTTCGTCGGCCTGCTTGTCCTTGCTGGGGCTAGCGATCGTCGGCGGCTTGCGTGCGGATTTCTTGGGGCTCGGCAGGGCCTCATTGCTGGACCTGGCTGTCCTGTGATCCTCCTGCGCTTTCTGCGTGGGGCTCTCGGTTTTGGCACGGGGCTTGGCTGGAGTCCGTGCCGGGCTCGGTGGCCGTCGTGGCTTTGTTCCCAGAAACCTTGCTGTCGGCCGTGGCTTGCTTTCCCTTGACGGGCTTCGTTGGGGCCTCGCTTTCTTCAGGTTTGTGCTTCTTTGCAGAGTCCTTCTTGGGTTTGCTGGGGGCCTTGCTTTCATCATCCTCAGCTTTGCGTTTCTTTGCCTCCTTCTTGGGTGGGGCCTCGCTTTCTTCCTCAGGTTTGTGTTTCTTTGCAGAGTCCTTCCTGGGTTTGCTTGGGGCCTTGTGCTCATCTACCTCAGCTGTGCTTTGATCCTTGCAAACGGACTTAGGCTTGGCGGCACCCTTTGGTTTTCCTTTGGCTGCGGCTTTGCTCGTGGCTGGCTTGCTGCTGCTGGGTTCGTCGTTGGCTTCGCTGTCCTTCGGATCCGTAGCCTCCTCAAAGTCCTGCTCGAGCTGCTTTTGTGTTTTCTTCGCTCGAGCTTTTCTCTCCGAAGCAGTCTGCTGATCAATTGACTGCGGCCTTCTCAGAGCATCTCTCACCTTCTTAGGAAGAGACCCTGATAGCTCATCGGTGCCGGCCCGCTTCAGCTTTGGTGGCGGGGTTTCCACGACAACTGTCTGGGCAGAGTCAGCTCTGAGCGGCTGCTTGCCGGCCTTACCCTTTTGAAAAGCTCTCTTTCCAGGAGGCGTGTCGTCGAGCTCCGGGAAAGGGTTCTGAGCATCTTCTTTGCTGCTGTCGTAGGACCTGGGCACACATGTCGTGCGAGCACACGAACACACGAGTACATTCTCAGTACATGCTAGATATCGCACAACTGTCACAGAGGATCCCACCACTTCCGGGACGGTGGCGACGGTGTCACTCTGGACTCCCGGTTTCGGGCCTGCTCCAAAATCTTCGCCACATCGATGGCCACCGGCATCACACCGATGACAGTCGAGGCTTCTACAAGAGCGAAGGAACACTTACAATCAGCAAGAACCACCTGTAATGTGAAGGCCAGCAGCAATTGAAGCTTGCGTGCAGACATGCAAGAACACGTCACAGACACAGCAATCTACGCTTTAGTGTTACGTGCTTTGTGTGATTTTGGGAGGACCAAAGTTTCACAGTTATCTGGGTGCTTTTCACGGTTTTCACGGTGCTTTTCACGCTGTTTTCACGCTGTTCTCACGCTGTTTTCACGCTTGGCTCTTTCACGTGATTCTCACCAACTGAGCAGCAAGCTTTTGGGCTGCGTCATCGGCATTGCAAGGGTGGGTTTCACAGCCACTGAATCAGCTAGTGCTTGCACAACGACTCACTCATTGGCAGCCTAGAACCCATTGAGATGTCGATTGAGAATGGATGATCCCAAACTAGAGCAACTCTTGATATTGTAGTGGTGTTGTCGGCACTGCAAACATCACATTATGGGAAATCAAAGGCTGGCACATATCGACCGGCCTCGATTTCTTTGGCAAGAAACAGAAAGACCGGCTCGAGATTCGCATGCTTCCAATCGAAAGGCGGCTTCACCACCGGAAGCTCGCTCTTTGCAGCCTTCAAGGCCATACTGCGTGCACAGATCAAATAAACCATTGGCCGGAATATGTGATGCGTGGATGAACTCAAACCCAGCCTCGGAGAGCCTCTTCACACCCACGGACAGGTCGCAGTGGTGGCAGTTCTAGGCACACACACACACACACACATGGACCATATGGCATATTCGCAGGCGAAAAGCTCGGGAGCAGAACAGACAAAGCACACCTAGCACTGCAGGCAGGAGGCCATCATGTATTCATGGTGGCCGGCGATCGCTTCCCCAAAGCCAGCCGGGTACGTTTGGGTGTTCTTCAATTTCGGCAGTCGGGGCAACAGGAGCAAACAGCACTTTGGAGCACACACGGCCACCCCACTCGCCAACACACTCGCTCCGTCACTGCATCGCTTGCATTAAGACACACACTCAATCGCTCGGTCACTGTTCACGAACACACACACAATAAGACACGAAAAACAGGTACACCCACCCACCCAATTATCTACCCAGCTCTCTTTCTTTTAAAATGTGTTCACACCATTTCTGTCGTGCCAACACAATCACACAGTCTGTGACTCTGTCTCTCTCCCTCTCACTGTTCTGAGCCTTTGTCTGTGTGTGTGTGTGTGTGTGCGCGTGTCAATGTCTCTCTTTTTTGTCGTTAATGTTTTCTCGATCCCACACGGCTCTGGGTTGGGTGCATTTCTTTCCAACCTAATCTCCCTTGTGTCTTCCTCTCTCGCACATACCAGCACCACAGACAGGATCTAAGGCAGGGACACAACTCTCTTTCCAGTTCCCTGTTGTTTCCCGCTCTTAAAGAGACCTTTCGAAGAAAGCTTCAGCTCCTTTCTCTTGGCTTTCGTCAGGCACTGATACATCTTCGGCAGCCAGGGCCTCACAGAGCGGCGGTGATTCGGGCTCAGTGTTTGTTCCCATGGCAACCACAAGTAAGACCCAGACGGAGTGCCCACCAGGACAGTGAGCTTGGGCGCTCGGTGCCCGTAGGTCCCCATCCAACTAAGCGGTTGCAACACTTCGGTCGCTAGATGCCCCCCTTCTTGTGCAATACATTACGGCTAAGCTTCGGACAACCGCACCCTCCTCATTGGTATGGAGGCACCGTAGCATTCTTCCACGAATTGCAGGTATGGGAACTGAAGAAACAAAGAGCTCCAGGGCTGCTCTATCATCCAGTGCACCGATCTCATACATGCCAGCAGGCACAAGAGAACCGTCCGAGTAGCCAACCTCAGAGGGGAGGGTTCAAGTTCTTGTCAGGAGATTACATATCAGCGACCTAGCACAGGGTTGCTTAGGGATGAACCTTGCCATGATGAAGTAATGCCAGAAAACTCGTTTGCCCTCCTCACATAGACATACTTGGTTGTGCCAAATATGCGACATGGTCGTTTTCCGGAGGTTGACCGATTCATGAAGACCCACGAGTTGCAGGGCAACCCGCAAGCCAACAGGCCTGCCTTGCGAAGCCGTAGCACCTTGTTCAGCGCTCGTACCAGCCCAAGCCTCGGCGGCGGGGCATTCATACCTTACAGCCTCCGACCACCTAAGCCCTCTGATAAGAACCGGGCACAGTCAACAGATCGTCCTCTTCCCTAGCATCCACATCGAAGTAGTCCCTGGGTTCTCGCTTCGATGGTTGAAAAGCTACTCGGACACGTGACGGTCATTGAAGGTGTTCTCTAAAGGCTGAGATCCGGGCGACTTGAGGCCACGTCCATCTGGGAAGCAGGCGACCAATCAATGTAGGTTCCCCGAATACTAAATGAGGTTGTTTACAACCGAAGCCCTGGTCCCTAAATTTGCTGAATTTGACTCTGCCCAGATCAAGACTGCTAGGCATGCTGCTTCATTCAGGCAACAGCAGGCCACTCGTAAGACCCAGACTAAAGGCACTTTCGATTGCCCGCTTGCCAGCAAAGAGGTCCAGGCAGAACAAATCCTAGGCACCGTTGCGCTCAAGCAGACCCAAACCAACAATTAAGGAATCGACTCCGAGGCTTCAGCCCGAATCGTGTTTGATCCCGTAGCATTCTGGGCCACGTAGTCGGCCAGGTGTAACCTCAAATGAAAGGGGTTTACTTTGGGGCTTGGGGACTTGTTGTTTTCATTTAGGGTGGAGGAGGGATTGTAGGGGTTTTGTGGTAAAATTGTTGAAGGGATGTTTCGGGCTCCCAGTGCAGGAAGGGCCAGCGAGTTTTAGTTTTGGTATATTGTGGCTAGGTATGAATTTGGGACTTAGGGGAGCTGAGTTCATTCTGATCAAAGCCGCATGATGCTTGGAAATCCAGCATAGGCCAATGCCAGCAAGCAGTCACGAGAGAGGGCCAGCTCGCTTAACATCCAAGCAGCCATGCCTGCTAACCCCTCATCGAAGCATTGAGCCCCATGTCTGAAGCCGAACAAGTCGAGCCTTCGAGATGCATGCAGCAAACACCAGCAGCAACTTCGAAGCAGTAAGTGTTTTTGCTCTTCGGGAGCGAGGCTTCTGCGATCGCTTCTGCCGGAGTTCCCAGAACCTGTCGATTCACAGCAGAAGACAACCACGGCTAGCAACTTCCAACAACCTGTAGGATGCCTCTTGTCAGGTGCACCAGCCAGCCGCCAGCATAGAAGCCTTCCACCTCGATACATTGTGAAACTACACACTTGCCCGAGCTCAAGCCAGAACGAACTTTGGGTGCCAGGCCCAGACTCAACATCGTCAAACCGATTCCACCCCATCGTGAGGCAATCCTTCTGGTTGATCTCGGCGTTCATTAGCTTTCGGGTTAGGGATACTGCAAGGGCTTCGGCAGCTAATTGGGTGCCCGGCAGCGAACTCCGTGCGGTACTTGACGTTCAGTCCCGGAATTCGGTCAGGGAGTGGATTTGTCACGTACCAGTAGCCAGAAGCCGCCGTGAACCTGGTTTGAGATTCGGTTTGTGCGGGGAGCGGGCAATGTAGGCTGTAGCAACTTGATTCTCAAATAACAAACTCAGGAGTGAACCGCAACGAAATGGTCGACTTGTGATTCGGGCTTCGGATAGTCCAGTACCTCAGGCAAATGCGCTTTCGAGTCTTGAAGCCCGAGTGCTGAATTAAGCTGAAATGGCTTTGTTGCTGAGTCCCCTACATTTGGGTTCCCCGTAGCACGTTCTCCTCCACCTCGAACCGGGAGTCTTTCTTCGCCAGAGCTCGGAACTTAGGGGCCCAGTGTGCTTTGACCTGCCAGAGCACATCAGTCGTGGAAACTCATTTCAACAAATAGACAACACTAAAATTCACGGCCCTTTCCAATCAAGCTTAGCACAGGAACTGATGTGTATCAATATTGAAGGCCCAGGACCCCTAGCCCCTAGAACCCTGGACCCTTTGCACTCTTAAATAAAGCAACACCCCAGCAACCTTGTTGTCTTGCGTGGCATTCTGATCTGCATCCTCTTCCTCCGCCTCTTCCTCCTGCTCTTCCTCACCTTCCTCTCCCATTTCATCATCCTCATCCTTGGGCAGGCTTTGGCAACCACTTTACTGTCAACCTTCGGCGTGGGGTCCATTCTTTTTTTTTGCTTCTTCATCCTGAAAGAGAACTGAGAATTCTTAACCCACCACAGTAGCTCTATAATCGAACTCCGTGCAAAGAGAATGTCCTTGTATGTGCCCCGCTCTGCATCGTTTTCAGAAACAATGCCTTCCCCTTCAACCTCTTCATCAGCTTCTGCTGGTGCTTCCTCTTCTCCCTCCTCCTGGCAGGCACCTTCGTCGTCATGGTCCTCGCGGATTGCAGCAGTGGCGGCAGCAGCAGCAGCAGCAGCAGCAGCAGCAAACTAATAAGTACGGGGCCGTACCAGCACAACTTAATCCCATCAAAGCTCGGTCTTAATCCCTCATCGGCGACCAAACCCCCAAATCCCAGGGCTTAACCAGGAGCAGCAGTAGTTAAGGGAAGGGTTTAAGGTTTAGGTTTACAGTTGAAGGTTTCGTAGTTTGGGTTTCTACAATTACTGAGTGGATTCAAACAAATCTAGAGTGCTCGAGAGGTGTATCATAAAAGTTGCTTCAAGATGACCGATGAGTACTGCTTCTGGTTCCCGGCATAATATAAGTTACGGTTGGAGGTTTTAGAATCTGCAGAGACGAACGGCAAAGTCCTGCACCCCTGTCTCCCTATACATCAAAAACCGAAACGAATCCTCAAAGCCCTAGGCCCTAAGCTCT